TTTCTCCTCATTTGCGAGCTACCACACTCAGCTGAGTCATCCTGGCCTCCTTCACACCACACCACCAGGAGCGACGGCAGCAGGCACAACCAGTAAGAGTTAAGTTGGTAGGGCTTTTTCTTCTCAGATCAAAGCACTTCACACAAAATATTTCAGCAAAGAGCAAAGAAAGCTGAAGCAGACTTTAGAGTGTATCAAAATCGGCAGCAACTTTTTGCTGGCCTGAGGGTAAAGCAACTGTATTGTATCTGGATATTTTTGCATGTTTGTTTAAAGAAAGGAACATTTTTTGTTTACAGACATTTTTGTTTACAGAGTAAATTTGTTTTTGAAGTTTTGGTAAAATTGTAAGGATTGTTTTAAAGCATGCTACTGGGCTGCGTTTGATTAGGATGCTTCCCTGCTATGACAGATAAAAGATCACTCAGTTCAACGTGTTGCTGAAGGGTTTTCAGTGAAACCCCAGCAATAGAGGTAGGAAGCATATGCTTTAGTTTAAAATGCTGAGGAAAAGAAACTCAGTCTTGCTTCAACTTTTTCCTTACCTGCATTTTTAAAAGCTCCTTGGACTGTCAGTGCTCAGGAGAGAAGCAGGGGAGTCACACAATCACCACTAAGAAGTCTAGCACAGGGTGGGGTGAACTTACATGACCTACAAATACCCCTCACAACAGTTTGATCGTTCCCAGTTCTGCTATAAAACTACACCCTAGCTGACACATCCCCATTCTGCTAGGCACACATACACACTTCGGTCCAAGTTCAGAAAATAAACACAAGCAAGCGACATCAGGTTTAACCACTAGAAATAAATAGTTCAAATACCAGGGAGAGGAGTGTCTTTGTAGCAGTGGTATTGACTCCTTTTAAATGATTTGCGTGTGTCTAACCATTTTCCATTCAAGGTGTAGGCACACTACAGTGGATTTAGACCTTCCAGCAAGTTTCCTTCCTCCCATCACTTTTCATAGACCCCTTCAAAGCAGTCCACAGACACGAATGGGATGGGATGGGATGGGATGGGATGGGATGGGGGAAGGGAAGGGGGAAGGGAAGGGGGAATCTGTAACAGCTATTATGCCAGGGTCACCTTACCCTGCGACTCTTTTTTTTTAAAGGAGGAAGAGAAGGGGGAAGGGAAGGGGGAAGGGAAGGGGGAAGGGAAGGGAAATTTGCAGGAAAAAGAACAAAAAGATCTGAATCATCTACCAGGTATCACATCTCAGGTCACTTCCACACACCACGATCTGTCATGAGTTCAAGTGTTGGAAAAAATTTTGGGTTTCTTCCAGGACAGCAGGCAGGGTGAAGATCACAAGAGCACCCCACAGCCAGCGAAGATCACTGTCGAGGTCTATCCTGCACTAAGAACACAGCTGAGGAAAAATATCCCTCGGGGATAGGGGTTGCAGACATGGCAGTCTCTTATCCTTTAGAAGTGCAACAATATCGATGTTCATGCTGAAACCCCATGTAGGATCTGCAACCAACTCACTGAAAGCAATTACCTGTGTCCTCCTCAAAAGATTTTCCTCCTCTAGCACATGGACTCATAGCACTAAACATCAAAGCTGCTAACGTGAAGGTAGTGTTTGGCAGAAGTTTCTGGTAAGCAGGGGCATCACAGAGTGAGGCGACCTGCCCTCTCAGGCCCTGAAGGAGAGCTCCGTGTGCTCGCAGCCTCCAGCAGTTCTCCCACACTCAGGTAAGAGCATCATTTTTGGGGACCAGCCCTTGCAATCTCAGAAGACCTGGCTAAAATAATGGTTTGATGACACAAAAAAGACCTGCCTTTAGCTGACACCACCACCTCAAAAACAGCATTCTCTCGTGACATGCAGAAGTGATCCAATACAGACTCCTGCTGCAGATTCAAATTTGTTCAAAAATCACAGAATCATCAAGGTTGGAAAAGACCTTTAAGATCATCAAGACCAACTGTCAACCCAACACCACCAAGCCCACTAAACCATGTCCTGAAGTGCCATGTCCACACGTTTTCTGAACGCTTCCAGAGATGGTGACTCCACCACCTCCCTGGGCAGCCTGTTCCAATGTTTGACCACTCTCTCAGTAAGGAAATTTTTCACAATATCCAATCTAAACCTCCCCTAGCGCAACTTGAGGCCATTTCCTCTGTTGCAATTTGCTTTGTATCAGGAGGCTTCATGCTGGATAAAGAATCATTTCTTCACCAATGGCCAGCAAAAAAAACTAGTCGATTTTTTCCTCCTGTCCTGTCCAGTTCACACGCAGTGCGAGTACTGGCCCATTTTTTGAAAGATCGTACTACTGTATCTGTGCACGACCAAGCTCCTCACCTGAAAAATCACAAAGCTACACCCTGGGGCTGGAGTTTCCTTAATTGCTTCCCCAACTGCTTTCCCTAGAACCCCCTCTTAAATTAGACGAATACAAGAACTGCAAAGTTTTAATAGCCACCACCATACAGCAGGTATTCTCAGTCTCCAAGTCACAATTCCTACCCACAATATCAAGCGGCAATTTCTCATCCTTTCTTGAGGAACAAAATACACATCACCAATGTCGAACCAACGTATTTACTGCTCCAGATACAGTCAAAGGTTTTCACCTCACACATGCAACTGTCTTTCAGAAGACTGAAGTTACAGGGTTTCTTAATCCTGGCTTCTCATCAATGTGGGATGTAGGCAAACTACCAGGAAATTTGCCTGCCTGTTGTCAAGTTCCATTACTGGTATTCAAAATCTTCCACTGGAGAAAGCGAAGCTACAAATTGTCAGCAAACCCAGGAGCTGGGCCACGTGTCTGCATTTGAGCTCCAGGTTTAAGCCTTTTACCACTTTCCCAATCTAAATACAGGAAAGCATTTGCTCCATTTACATGACGTCGCATATGTACACATATACAATGATGCACTGCAGAAATAATTACTTCTAATACAGCGTAGCTAAGACACCACCTTCCCAGAGCAGGGAGGGCATTGTGTGTATGAGAACATGATCCTTGCCAGTGAACAGCACAAATCCAGAAACTAAGCCAGCTTGTAAGAAACAGCAAGGACCCCATGTAGCACAAGAGCCTTCAGGCACTTGGGGTGCTCAGACAGTAACCCTGCCCTAGGGGTGGGCCTCCATGTCAGGCCAGCTCTTTGCCATGAGAGCCAGCGAGCCACTCCACCAGGCCAGCCTGGTGGTTCAGGCACTCTCTCAAAAGACAGAAAAACACATCAGCTCAAAAGTGTTTGCTCCAGATTATGTGAAATCAGGTCTGTTTAGCTCAGCAGACTCTCTAATAAAAAGGGTTACAGCATCTGAGGGGGTAAAACTCCTCGTCAAGTCCAAACATACCTACTTAACGCCTTCACCCTTGTCCAAGGCTCAGCATAATCCAGGAGCACTTGACTGATTCGGTGACAGCCAAATGCGATGCCTCAGATAGCTGGTATGTGGATATTGGACAGAAGGGGCTGAATTGCTACATGAGGCCATAATCTTTGCAGGCATGGCACTGCATTCTTACATCACGTAACTATACACGTAAGTAGAAACTACTTCATGTTTTAGTAGCACCAAGGCAGCTCCTGACAGAATTGAGGCTTTTAACTGGAACAGACAATACCACTCTTGACACGTCCGTTTTTGTCCAAAGAGACCTTTGCCAAGGCAGAAGGTTTACTTAAGGATTACTTAAAAGTAATCACCAAAAGAAATCAGACCCTGGAGGTGAAAGACTGCCTCTGTACTACTGCACGCAATGCGCTATCCTTAAGGAGGCGCTTCCAAACAGACGGAATATGAAAATCCATTTAACATCCTACAGCACGAAAAAGATTTCGTGGCCTCTGGGACACACAGTAAGGACAGACTGCAATTTTGAACAGACATAAGCAGCAAGTTCTGCTTCACTGCTGAACACCTACTGTTCTCAAAACAAGCTACATTTCAACAAAGTCTTACACATCATTGTAACTAAAATTTGAGTGCAAAATTTTTAAGTGTCCAAATATGGCAAAGAGGAGAGCTATATAAAGAGACCTAGAGAACTATTTAAGGTTTATAGGCTGATTCTGAAGAATTTTAACGGATTGTACAGATTTCTACACTGGTTTTATGAAATACATTATATTCCACAGAGACATGATGCCAGCTGGTAGATGAATGTGTGTCTTCTGCCCCATGATGAGGCAACAAATGATCCCATAAAGCTCTTACTGATAACTTTTTAAAAAAGATGTACTTCTTGGCTAACTGCAACGTGAAAGAGCTCTCATTAAAAGAAGCAGAAGACACTCTCAAGTTTTGCTCATAGGCCTCTCAATTTTCACACACACTAGGATCATACTGAAACAGAAGGACCTTCCAATAACACAAAGTTGACTAACACATTTTAATTTCCAGTATATAAAATTATTTTTGCACTTATTCTTATAGAAATATGCCACAAGTAAGAAGCAATGGATTAGAAGCTAGGCAGAATCCCTACCAAATAAACTGAAGGTAAAGGGTAAAAACAGAGATGGCGAAGTCTCAGCTAAAACCTTTCACATACAGGAAGAATTTTGCTACATTCCCTTTCCATAGCCTGGTACACTAAATTAGTTACATTAACTAACAGAACTTTTAAAAAGTTTAAAACCAAACCAAACCAAAAGAAACAAACAAAAAAAATCACATCAACTTTAATCCATGCACTCCCACCTGAAGAAGCAAGCCTGAACACAGTAGGCAAAAAGAAAATCCTGTTTCAAGGAAAATACCATCTCCAATATTCATATATCATGCATTAGAGATTCCTAGGACTCAACTGCTAACACTTTATGTTGCTAGAAAGCTTAGGCATATTATAAAAGCATTATCTGCCGCAAGCAGGATATTTTCATATAAGTCTACCTGAAAACCTGAATCTGAAAAAAAGTTTAAACCAGTCTTCTTCCATAATTCATTTTACATTTAAAAACAGCCTGCAATCATATCAGTTCCTTTCAGCAAGGCAAGAGCTACAAATTAAAAACAGTATCATAGGGATGACTCTTCAGTCTTCATCTTTTTTGTCTGTCCATTCGAACCACGCTGCAGATCCTGCCTTTTCTTTTTCTGCTGCTGTAACCTCTCCTCCTTCCTCTGTAGGTAGGTGGCCATGTTATCAAATGAAGCTTTGTAAAGACTGCTGTAGTGACTCTCTGTGCCAACAAAACCTGCAATTGGGCAAAGCAAGAACACAAGACAAGTGTTAATTCCCTTAGCTGTCTCATCAATTACTTCCTGTACTGTCATTCTAGGCAGTGGCATTTGAATTCATTTACTGTGGTCCTATTCACTTAATTAGATATCAGCATTTACACTCTGTAAGCCTGATCTGTGTTGGTAAGCATCTGTCCTACATTCACACAGCCAAGCACAGCCTCCATTTTTACACTAAAAAATTCCTCGAGAGGCAACCACCTGATGTTGAAGCAGAGGGCACACAGCTCTCTTTACATGCTGGACACTTGCAGACACAAATGACTGCTGTTGCAACTTACTGTTAGACATCCCACTGCAGTTACTACCCAAGACCTAAGCACTGCAAAGGGCAGATGCTACTCTAACTGTGCTTAGCTGACTTGCCTTCTGGAGCATTAACTTAAAAGAAGCTCAAAGAAGTAGAACTCAAACAGTCATGTCCTACAGCACATACACATTTCTAAATATTCACTCTGATGGTTCTGTTACACCTGCTGTGAATTCAGCGTAATATTTATCACACCATGTCCAAGACTGTAAGTTCAGACAAGTTTAACAGGGGACAAACTACCCTCCAAAAAAACCCAATCAGATTGTTTCTGAAGAGGATACAGAACAAGACTAGCTGGCTAGGTCCACATTTCTAAAAATTGTTAGAGTGATACCTGACAAAGCCTGTTACCTCTAGTTCTTTTTGTATTCCTACCTTTTCCCACTTCCAAAAATTCTTGATCTTAAAGGAAATCCAGTATTTGCTAGGGCTTGGTCCTGAATTTAGTGTGCTGCTCCACAGTAATGTACATACAGCATCCCCTTGTTTCTTGGTACACAAACAAAACAACTTTCCCTCGCTAGTACTCAGTAAGGTGTATGCCTGTAGTTTCAATGATCTTGCACTCGCACAGTAACCAATTTATTGGCCTTCGGCCCTGGGAGAAATTGCATGCTGTCAGTCTGAATATCCATGCTACTCTCTACTTGATCAGTCTACACTAAATCTTGCTCTCTCTTTTTCTGAGATCAATTATAACACAATGTCAAACTGTTCAATGCGTACTTCAAGACTGACCTACGCATCTTAAATCCTACAGAATCATCAATCAGATTAAACAAGTTTATAAAAGGATGATATGCAGGAATTAAGACTAGGTTTAAACAACATAATGGTGACCTTTTTTAAAGGAGTAACTACCTTTTCAAGCACTAATTATGCACTGGAATAAGTGCTCATCAAGTGAGCCTCCCCTTACTAATTAACAATAATAGACCCTGACAACTGAGCAGTCCTCCTTTCCCAGCTGCAGATGCAGCCGGCTACTGTGGATCACAGTGATTTGCTATGCTGGCTAATTACGCTCAGAACCTCTTCCCTCTTGCTCATTTTCACTCAGATCTCATACTCCTAATTATCTGCCTGGCTGTAACTATCAAGTCTGAGACACCTACATGCAAACACTCCCCCTTCCAAAGGGGTACCTGACTTCCTTTTAGTTTTCAAAGACTGTACCAACTTAATGACAGCTTAATGACCAAGTTAATGACAGCTACAGCCTAAACCATCTAATACTACATATTAAGGAGACTTTACATTAGACTGCATATTCCTGCAACCTTTACATATGACCAGCAAGAACAGACCAAGAGACTGGTGAAGACTGTAACACTTTTTTTAAGGAAGAAGGTTACCATTCTCCCAGCAAAGTGCAGCACAGAGACTTCAATTAATCAACTTTCAATACATAATGAGACATCCATGAGCACATGCCACAACTCTTCTCTATCCTGTAGCCACCACTTCCGTAATTTCAGCTTCTAAATGAAGTTGTGTGGTTTTTAAATACAAAAAAAAAGGGAAATATAGGGTGCCTCTGAACTAGTAAACCATGTATTATTTTTCTGCCAGAGACTGCGGATGGGGCAGAAATCAAGAACAAAATGAATGAACCCTGATACCATCAATTTGACGATACCATCCAGGGTCACACCCTCCAGCCACAGCAAACTCCACATAATCTGCCTTGCCAAGACGGACCCGAACGGCCCATCTCTACAGTGAAGCTGCTCCTCCCATGGCTATTCCATTCTTACTGTCTCCACTGTGCTTCTGATAAAGTGCCACACCCAGGTAAAAAACAAGATTACACAGTATTTGATATCACAGCAGTTTAAGAAAGACTCTAGCAGCTCTGTCATAGGGTGTTAAGATACATCCCTGTGAGAAGTTGTCTATGTAAAACAGTTGTAGTGCTGTAACTCAAATCTAAATACCTACATCATTCTGTGATAACAATAACCTGAATACACTTCATGAGCTACACTCACTGCTGTACCAGATGGAGTAATGAAACTGAGAAAACTGAAAGATTAAGTATCTTCAACAGCCAGCTGAACTGATCTAAACTCTGATCTTGCTCCTAAATCTTATGCTTCAGCTGTAAAAATTGCATTCCAGGGCCTTTAGGCCAAATTTCTCACCTTCAAACACTGTCCAGTTGTCTTGAATATATTTTGACATCTTCTGTAATCCTTTGTCATCAGTTACAGGCTGGGAAAAGAAGGAACACAGCATGATATTTTGGGAATAATAAACTATCTTGTGTTTCACACCATACTGAAAAATGCACCAGCTCTCAGATAAGTACAGTGAAAGGAGAGCGAGTGTAAGTCCTCCATGATCTCTTTTAGGCTCCTTTTTTCCAGGACTGCTATAGAAACACAGAACATGTAAGGGTTAAAGAACATATGTCAAAGTTTCATTTAAAACCACTTCACAACTATACCGTAATTAGCTGGGGACTTACAAGGACAACAAGCGAGTTTCCAGTTGTTTAACAGGCTCTTATAGGTAACTTGATACCACATCCCTCAAATTTGACTCCCTGTTCTCAGTGAAAAAAAATGCTCCCAGAATGTCTTGTCCCCAAAGGATCCCTCAGAGGCAGGCACAGGGAAGGCTGTGTGGAAAGCATTCCTGAGCAAACCACAAAGGGATTTTGTGGTTTTGTGGGTTTTTTTAAATAATCAAGTGTAGCACACAGGAAGCACAGGCAATAGTTTAAAGTACTGAGTGCAATGGCTGACAACCACTCTGCTCAACCCTGCTATGCAAATGTTAGCTTTACCAGAGAAAAGACCAGTATTCATAACAATCTCTCAGCACCTTTGCGTTATACACCGGGGAGAGAAGTAGAATGAGATACATATCCATGACTTTTACTCAGTCCCAAGACACAGAGAAGTGTGCAATTTAGCTTTCATGGAACAGAGTTTACTCCATTTTTGTTATGGCCTCAAGAAAACACAAAACATTCAGGATGTTAGCATATCTACCTTCCACTGCCCATCACATGGTCTGTACGATTGAAGAGGAGCTTCACTGTCTTCCTGCAAAATCCATAGATCTCCCATTTCCTCAAAGGCAATGTCCCAACCTTTATGTTTCAAAGAGATTTGCTGTCTGTAAACTAGCTGCTGGGCAATGGCATCAAGCTGAAAGACGTAGACTGTGGGAATACTTTTGAGAGGAAAAACATAATTAACATTATTACCAAATCCACCTACAGCCATCACTTGTACAGCAGGCTACAAACACCCACTCTAGTTCCCACAGAGCCAAAGCAAAGTCATTAGGAATTGCAAAAAACACCCTAGCACTTCAAGTGCAGTTTTCTTACATGATCTGAGGCACAAGCTGTAAATACCTAACACATCAAATGGCTTTTCAAGTGTTATATGAAAGAAAAAGCAGTGCTGCCTTTTCTTTAAAAGGAAAGGTAGTAAAGGGAATTTCATAAGTATTAGTAAGGATTTATATAAGCAGTGTTACATCATAGCACACTGGCCTACAGGGCTTCACCTGAAGGAATATGTAGCTGAGCACCAGTCAAAATAAAACAGAAAAAGGAGTTACATGCTGGGGAGGGAAGGAGGGAATGAGAGGGACAGGAAACACTGACATGGCTGAAGAACAGGACTCTGGCACTGCACTCATTTCCACCCCTCATATCAGCACTCACTTTAACAGCCACAGCCTCTACATGCAGGGCTTCCTAACCTCCCTTGTACAGGTCCCCAGTGTGCCAGGCAGGACACTCCAGCTCCCTCCTGAGAGGCCTACGAGGTCCACATGACAGCACTGTTCAGAAACACTGGGCTGTGGAGCTGGTAATAAAAGCCTGACTCAGAGCACAGTGCAGCCCCTCGGCTAAGTGACACCGGCACAGCCCTTGGCTGATATGGCTTCCCCTTCCAGGGCCAGTCTGGATGCCCATGCAGAAGGTGTGATGGGAAGCAACTAAGGCTCCTCGGTCTGGCGAAGAGCAAGTCCACGGAGGCAACAGATTGCTCATTTCACTATACGGGCAGCTCTAGCAATTTCTCCCCTTCCTGTTGGCAAGCTTTTGTCAGGAAGAACAGCATTCCTGGCAAGCTTAAGGTGCTGTGGAAAGAGAGAAGAGGGCTTGCCCATCCCTGCAAGACATTCTCCCGCTGGTCAGACCTGTAAGGTTCCTCAGTGCTTGGGCCCTTCAGCCCCCAAGTGCTCTCTCCTTAGGCAAACACATACATTTGAACCCAAAAGTCAAAGTCACTTCTTCACAGTTTTAAACTGAAGCACTGCTGTGGTTTTAAACAGAGTAGCTGAACAGGAGCAGAATACAGTAACAGAAGTTTGGCCACTCTGTCGCCCCAGCACCCTGTGCAAAATGGGACCCAAAATACATGGGTCAGGAGCAGCAGTTAGGGAGATGTCCTGAGCATCGAGCAGAGCTCTCACACACCCTAGCCTTGTGTTTCCTCATGTGAGGGAAAGGCATCACAAATTCTGTAAAACTTAACTAAGCTGGGTCACTCACACACTCACCTCTGCACCCAGACCAATTACAATAAGGACTCAGAGGCTCCTTGAGAGCCTGGGACACTTGGAGATACACACTACCAAGTATTTCAGGCTAGGGGAAAGTTGGGACAGCCAACAAGGGAAAGGTGCTCTTGCCTTTGCAGGAGCTATGATGATTTTAGCCGTTATTCCATTTATTCTTACCAGTCACACAGAACGGCAACATAACCACCTTGACAGCAGTAGGTTATTCTTGACACAGGGTATTTCTATTAGGAAAAGAAAAAGAAACATCCTTGTAAGTTAAGACCATTTATGGGCAGAAAATTCATATTCCATTTCACGCCTTTAAAATTTAGCAAATGTCTTAATTTACAGCAAGTTAAGCAACATAATTACCTTTAAACTGCTGTCAAGTATATTTCTGCACCAGCGTTTGCTGTTTTATGAAGTTTTCCACACTTCTCCCTTCATAGCCATCCAAACAGAGGTCAAGTGTAAAGGTTTTAGTGAACTACTCTTAACAGACAAACTAACAGATCATGGAAAATACATCACCTTCAAACATTCTCTCTTGCAATGCTAATGGCAAAAACATCATCATAAAGCCTGTTCAGACGAATATCACACTAGCAGCTTAGATATTAGCTGCTGTTATGTTTGTTAAAAAAAAGGAGATGGTGATGCATAGCTAATCTCCTTGCTGCATTGGCTCTGTTTTCAACCTGTGTCTGGGTGAAGCCATACCGCTTAACAGAAAACGTGTTCTGAAGAACGAGGCAAGACTGCCTGAGGCCATTTTCCTCATTAAAAACAAACAAACAAAATCCTACTCCCAACAACAACCAAAAACCGCCACACTGCACTCCTAATTTAGAAGATAAACTGTTTTACCTGGAAGAGAGTCAGAGAAATACTTTTGCTGCACAAACCATACTACTTGATATATATAGCAACTGATCTGGGGCTCCTTGAGTTGGAAGAACGAACTTGGGAGGAGCAGAGAAACTGCAAGAATATGCCCTACGGTGCTTTCTCAAAAGTATCTATTATATAATGTGAAAGATGACACTGCAAAGGCAAAAGGCTGGTTCTCAAGTATATTTTATAAGTAGCTATAACACTAGCACCTCTGATTAATAAAACCTTCCTACTAGAGAAGTAGTGAGTTATTCCCTTTACGGCAGGGAAAATACATCTTCTTGACACTCTGCTGGCAGAATTGAGATGCATCCTCAAGCCATCTTTCCTTTTACCCCCTTTCCAGCCTTCACTTCTTTCCTTAACCCGACACTGGTCACAAGGCAGAACCTCTCGTTCACCAGGTTAAGCTGAATTTGGGACTAACCATGGTATTTTACCCTTTGAGCAACCAGCTGACATATAGGCATTGTAAGGATGCTTGTTTCAGAATTTTGCAATGAATGTAAGAAAGCAGAACAAGCTGTACAGCTTCCAAGCATTCAAGTCAGCAAGTTTAATGCTAGAAGCTAACTATTTTATCAACATTGTATGATGCAACTACTAAAAGATAAACCAACTGCAGGAAAGAAAATTAATGGTATAAATATAGCTGAAAACCAGGGTTACACAGTGCATCTACAGCACATGACAAAAAAATAAAATAAAATCCATTGCGTGATAAAATCTCATGGTGGGGAAGCAAGAACAACAGCATACACACACTCTTCACTCACATACTCAGTTGCCTGTTTGGACAGAAAAGGAGCACTTTTATAAAAAACATTATCAAAAAGATAGTATGTTTCAGAGCTCTTGGGAACAGATGGGACTAATCTTTTTCTACTCTGAAGAAATACTAAGTTGTTAGTCCATATTTAGCATTGGGACCCAGGACCCCTTTTTACCATGGACATAAAAAATGCTGAATCAGAAAGGTTCTCTGTAGCCAATACATCTAAATGTAGTTATTGCAGTATGGAGCCACTCACACCACAGTTTTAGAGTAGAACTGACAGCTTCTATTGTAAACTACCAGTAGGTTCTTTAGACATTTAAGGGAACAAGCCAAGATAAATAACATATTAAAAAACCCAAACTGGTGATATTTATTTCTAATAACAAAGCTCTGCCTCTCTGGCTGTCTCATGACACACAAGTGGCACAAGGGCAAGTGCAGCGATGGGAACTGCCCACCTACACAGCTGAGTGCTTTGTCAGAAAGACAAAGGGTTCTGTGAATTTGACGTATGCAGCAGCTCTCCCCAACCCTCGCTGGGGGAGGGAGGAGGAAGCTTTTTTTCATTTGAATTAAATGTTATTCACAGCTGGACAGATACAAGAAAATGCATCTTCTTTGCAAGCTTTTTCCTTTCCATGTGTGGGTAAATTAACTATCAGGAAAGTGAATGCAAGCCCCAGAGTATTATCTTGTTCAAGGACAAGCCTATGAAATCAGTTAACTTAAGGAAGAGCTAGAAGAGCAGTCTGTGATAAACAGATGTTCACTTGATACTCTTTGAACTTATTCAGCATTTATATGACACTGCTATCAGCCTGTCAACACCTTAAAATTAACTTTTGATGTCTTCTGTGAGAAGAGGTGACCCTATGAAAAATTAATGTACTGGAGCACTGGGGTAGAGTTGTGCAATTCATGCTCTGGACTTTAAACAAGCTTCTGCTGTCAAGAGGATAAAATGAGGTGAAAGCTCTGAAGCAGGAAAAACATTTATATAGCACTGTGAAATTAGAGAGTTACTCCCATTCTAGTGGGAAAATGAGCTGAGGATCTGCAACCCATCAGCTGAAACCAATGCTACACTGCTCAAAAACACTCCCGCCTTCCCAAAACAGGCATGTAGTCATCATCTGCCAAGCAAAGTAAGACCACATTTATGTGCTCACATGACCCACCATTACTGATGATTCCATTATCATTATGCTTCAAGTTGTGTTTCAAGCTTCAGTGCACTCACAGTGGTTATCAATGGTAAAAATGAAATGCAATGCAAAAGAAAAGAAAAAAAAAACTTATATCCCCATGTGATCTTTGGTTGCCAGTCATTTGCAGAGAGCATGCTAGTTACAACCTACAAAGTGCTGACTCAAGAGATTGTTCCCTTAAATTCAGATTATAAATGTCACAGTAGGTTGTGAAGATGATCTTTTGATACACCTGCATGCTCAGCACGACTAAATACTACCACCAGACATCATCTCTGGCATTTCTAGCACTATGATGCCAGCAAAACACAAGTCTCCTTTCCCCTTTGGTCCTGCTAGCCATCGAGACAGAAATTGTTCTGAAAGAAGTACATATTGACAGCTGCATAGCAATACAGCACAAAGGTGGCAATGCACCGCATTACGGTTTAAATCTGTCATTTATCTGTCTGTAATCACTGGGACACTGCCTGATCACTGTTTCCAAGTATGTACTAACTCTGGAAGTCAACTGAGTCTTCTGCACCCCTCAAACATCGTGCAAATTTAGCGTCACTGGAGACAGATTTTAAAATGCCTGTAAGAGTGGGCAGTAATCAGAATTTCACAGATTCAAGGACGGACCAGCTGGAGGCTTCCAAGACCACTCACAGGAGACAGATACAGCAGTGGATAGAACTGCAAAACACTGCAGGAATACAGTTTATTAACTGCTGTGTTATATTTATCAACCCACAATTTGTGGGTTTTCTCTTTCTGTCATTCCTTACTCACACCGAGGTAAAGCAGCTAAACAGAGACTCCTCAAACAGTCAAAAGGCACGCCAAATTTCTACTGAGAGACTCCAGCAGCACAAAGAGGAGATGGAAAGGACTTTATCAGGTGTGTTAGGAGACAAGGCAAGTATTACTGAACTACATTCAAAAGCCTTTAAAAACATTCTAAGAGAGTTGGAGATTATTTTTTAAAATCAGTTCCTCCAGTTTTTCTCCCTCTAACATTTGTTAGTTTATCCAGTGCATTCAAGTTTGATTATATAGTTTAATAATTTTTTATAAACTTGTTTGTAAGCAATGGAGTTAGGATTCAGTGTGAGATCATGCACCATTAATTTACATGCAAGCTATCTTACTAAATGTTAAGCCAGTGTAAGCAACAAGTAGCATTTTTAAAATTAGTAATAGGATTCCCCACTTCACAGCTAGTTGCTTACTAGTCTTCAATGACCCAATAAACCTAGAAGGCAAAGTATTTTAAGATAAAATCATTCTTCCTTCCAAAAGAAATGCCTTGCAACATTACTGTAGACATGGATTCGATGGCTATCAAACCATGTTGTTTCAACAAAGCGCTCCCATTAGCTACTTTTGAACACAAAGATAAATACTTTGGCTTTGAAAGTCCCCAAGTCACTTATTTCCAGAAGGCTATACGTGGTAAAGTAGTTGTGTAGGTTTGCCTCAATCTTAATTCTCCCTTCCTCACTCAAATCCTGCTTCACCCAGACTATAAGAGGATACCAGTTAGATGAGCTTGTCACCTAATTTGGTACATCCCTTTTTTGCTTGAAAAAAACCCCAGCAATAGCTACTTCAAAGATTTCAAGCACTAGACTCAAGCTGAAATGAGCCAGAGTCCTTGTGAACGTGTACAAGAGGTCTCTGGCTCAGGTGTGCTTTAAAGTATATTTCAAGTTCAGGAGCAGGTTAAATTGTCCAAGTAGGTACTACCCTGAATTCCTGCTCCTGCTAACAGGAACTCTAGGCCAAAACCAAGATTTCCAGTATCTAAGCTTTGAATTCTGTTGATGCATGTGGCTGCCTTCCTGGGCTTACATACAGACACGAAGTTGCACATTACTACTCCAACACAACTTGCTGATGTCTTCTGCACAGAAAAAAAAACTTGAGTTGTCAGGTCTGTCCCTAGCTTGGTCCTTCCACAGGTTGTGCTTTCCGTTCAGTAACTGTGAATCCCACTAACAAGATTAATCAGACCTACACGGACAGCAAAAAAATCTCTGTGATCCCCATGAATGGCTCCTGACTGCTGTGAGACGCCGAGACAACACCCTTTGACTAATCAAAACCACAACAAAACACAAGGGAAGACAGACAGAACTTTCCGATTCAATTTCAGCCCGGATACAAATTCTGCAGTGGATTTGCCTCAAAAGCCATGCATGGCTACAAGCTTCCCAGTCACCTAACAACTGGCAGACAGCTGTGGTCTTCAGAAAAATAAGTATTTTTAGAGATTCACATGCAAAAACACACCCAGCAGAATGGGTTGCAAGATGAACAACTCTTAAGTGACCCAAAAGATTAGCAGCTGGCTTAATATGATGTACACAGCAGGGACAAGAACAAGTGCTGTACGTACAATGTATGTACAATTGGTCGTATGCCAATTCATGTGACAGGAAAGAAAATCAGAGATCAAGTACTACCAGCACCACTGCTCACATCAGATGAGCATCCCAAATCACTGTAGCACCCCAAACACATACATATGACACGACACCACTCATGTACAGGCTGCAAGCTAAGGAGAGCTCCTGGGGTATTCAGTTTTCAGGTAGGACTCACACATTTTAATTTTGAACACTGCCCAACTTCAGAACAACCCAAAGGAACAAGCCCAGTGTTTTGACTCCATAGGGCAGTACTATTGCAGGTGACTGGTCACAAATGTTACAAAGCTGCTTTTTGCTCAGATAAATTGCAACTTTAACACTCAAAATCCTAAGTATTTTAATAAATGGGTGAATTTTTAGATCCTTCCAGTGTTAAAAGATTATTTTCTGGTTAAGAGATTAAGGCACCTGTGTTGCTGGAAAAAATTTCATGTGAAAGCTTTGTCCACTGTGGAGAACTTGTATTTGGGAAGAATTACAAACAGCTTCTTTTGGTCACTGCCTGGCACTTTTTAGAAATGCACACAAGACACAGGAATGGATTTCAGGGACTTTCTTCCTTTCCTGAAATCCCAGGCTATTGTAATAGTTTCTAGGTCTCACATAACTTCCAAACCCACCAGCAGAAGGGAGGGACCCCCTAACAAAATCCAACAACCACATTTAGGAGTCACAAGGATCAGGAAGATAACAAAAGCACTAATATACACAGGTGTACCTGCTCAGTTCTGGTTCTCTCAGACTCACAAATGCTGCTTAGATGACAGCAGTACACTTCTTCCCCGCTTTTGTACTCCCAAAGTCTCAGAGTCGAGTCCTGGAGAGATGGAAGCAGACACAAGTCGATTACTAACAGCACCTCAGGCAGAAAAGCCACTTGTGGCCTTCAGCTAAATCCTGAGGAGCTTCCCATAGAAGCTGCTAAATAGTAATTTAGCTAAGACCTCAAACTGCATATAAAGCATTTTAATTAACATCATTTCCCCCTCAATTCTAAATTATTCAATCATGCTAGCTTTAATTCTCCTTTTGAAGTGGAAATTGGGTAGCTGGAGGAGTGCATTTCAAGTCTGTCCCAAATAGCACAGTAATACATGTGCTCAGCATTTTAATGGCAATTCCTTCCAGGTTGCCCCTACTCTTGTTATCACCCAAATTCTCATTTGATTTAGTAACCACCTGGAGAGAAGCTAAACACCTCTCTGGAAAAAGAGAGTCATCAAAGAGCATTTGCTAAGAATGAAATACAGCCGCACGCAGCACTAACTGTAGAGCTGCTTAAAAAATTAGAGGCACAAGAGAGCCTTAGGGAAGCACGAGAGGATCTGAAACCAAATGTTAATAATTACTATGATCTTCATATCTTCACAGAAAACATTATTTGTTTCCTATGCAGTTTTGGTAGTCTGGGAAACAAAGAATATTGTTTCCCTTCTTTTAGACCAACTCCATCTACTCACTCTGTACAGAACTGGCATAACAGAAGGATGCCAGAGATTTAAGAAAAGGGCTAGAGGGAGGGAAAGGAGGGAACACTTCATCAGTCCTCATCCAAGCACTGTGTAGCACTGCACTGCAATCTCTAGACAACATGCATGGGACGTACTATAAGGACATGCAGACAAGGACATAATTCAGAACAAGTCTCACAGGGGAAAGCAAGTGGAAGGGTGTACAGGGGACAATTTTCTTGTGTTAAAAGCTCTAAAAAAATCTGTGATTCTAAGGCCACTCATTGTCAAGACACTAATCATCATGGCAGGCTGGCTTAACATCCACTTGCTTCAAAGTTCCTTTAATAGTCCAATGATTAAAGTTTGTCTGTGCTCCAAAGCAAGACTCAGTGATGAAGAAATACTGAGGACTTTGTGATTTCGCCATCCCAGAGATCTTAATAACAAGCTAGCCTTGATATAAACACAGTAAATGGCTCTTAAATGATCTAGTGACACAATGGCTGAACACTGAACAGAAAGCTGAGAAAAGGGGAAAGGAGGGAGAAAGGGGGCATGCCGGAAACCATAAGACTATTCCAAGTATACCAAGGAACTTGGGGGAAACACAAGCAAACAATGGTTTTGAAGTCTAAATTTTCAAGAAAAATACTTTTTTGAAGAAATTGCAATACATACCCCAGAAGCTGACAACAGCAGATGAGGATAGTTGGGTATTACAAGTATTTTGCTTACAAACCTAAAGGGAAAGTAGTGAAAAGTTGAACTCTCTTGCATGACACTCCAGTCTTTAAACACACAAAGAGAAAACACTGATTTTAAAGAGAACCTTATAATAAACAAACAGATTCTCCACATCAAGCCCATTAGGAGGAAGAAAAAACATGCCTACAATATTTAATATAGTATATATATACTACACAAAGTACTGACCTTCTACTTAATAGAAAAAAAGAAAAAAAATTTCCCCACCTGCACTCAAGGAATTCTACTGACTTCCTCCTGACAGAACATTGCTGTTCAGACCAAAAAATGCCAACTGAGACAGACTTACTTGGGTAGCATGTTCCGCTGTTCAATTCATAATGCACATTAAAAACATGAATCAACAGATGCTTTTAAACCACAACAATAGTGATGACAGCTTTCAGAGTACCACATCTCGCCTACCACAGCTGGGAGATCATTCAAAAGCAATCTTTACAAAACTTTAAAACGAGCATGTGGCAATTTACCATCCATATCTACACTCAGCTAGAAAACTTGTTTTTCAGAAGTATGTAATACTGCTATGTCTACTATCACTTGTCTTTGCTGAGTAACAAGGACCTGAACTTTTGGAGTTTGTAACTATCTTAGAGCTCAGCAACTTAAAATGTAGTGACCTGAGCAGAGTGGGACAGTCTTGCTTTTGAAAATGGGCATAATTTTAAGGGCATTAAAAAAAGAAAAATGGAAAAAAAAAATAGAAGGAAGAGATCTGGTTACTGTAACACAAACTTTCATGACAAAGCAGTAATGGCAGGTGCATGCAGGCGTAATAGCAAGAATCGCCATGCATGCCACTGAAAGAAGAAAATCCAGGAGCCTGAAACAAGACAATTATAGCTGCTTTATGTAATCCTTTGCTTATCTGTTCCTAATTTAAATATTGAATCTTTAAATATATTTCAATCAATTTACACAAAGTGCCCTTCCACTCTGCAGCCACTAATTAACTCTTTGTGCAGTCACAACAGCCCCCATTTAAGTGTCTTTCTGACCATCAAGTTTTGTTCATTAGAAAGTACAACTGTGTACACAGTAGGTGGAAACATCAGACATGGGTCTGTAAATATGCTACAGAAACCGACCTGATCAAAGACTACTTAGATCTTTAACATGAGTAGTCTCTTGCTTTTATACTATGCCAATTCTACACAGGTTAGACTACCAAATTATGTTATTAAAATCAGACTGACACTCCAAATTAATCTGTGTCCTAAATGCTCTATTAAAACACCTTGGTGGGTAAGTTTAGAGAAGTTGTTACCCACATCTCAAGTTCCCCAGTCACATCGTCTTTCTTTCTGATATAGTGAGCTGACTGCACCATGTTGCATCATCTTATGGAAGACCGTGCCTGGAAGGGTGTTGTTACCCCCAAGTAACTCAGTGGCCAGGCAAGCAGAATTACATGCGTTCTCTGCCCTACACAGGGTCATGACTTCTCTGCTACCTTGTCACTGTGAACTTAAAAATGTAGCAGTAGTCACACAAAAAAACTTGCACACCTACCCCCCCTACCCTACTCAAAAATCCTAACAAAAAACCTTCAAAAGCCCACAAAACCATGTAAGACGGGAGGCAAACTCAAGAGACTTTGAAAATACCAAAACTGGCAGACATTTTAGGCAGCAAAATGTACAGGGAAAAGTCTTTTAAAAGTCTATTTGTTGTTTAAGTCTTCTTCATGGCAAAGAACTACTGAGAAAAGGGAAAGTACAGTCCCTCGTGTAGGCTGAAAAAGGAAGTCCTGATAAATGGCCTAGAAGACAACCCCCATCCCTATACCAAAGGAACTGCTGGTCTTCTGTTAAGTCAGAGCATACCCAAATCATGTCAATATAGCTGGCAGGTTGCTCTGCTGCCTCCCACTCTACAGATCACTGTAACCAGAAGAATCTTCACTTCAGGAGGGACGGGATGGGACAAGAAGGGATAGCCCAGAGAGGTGGTAGATGCCCCATCCCTGGAAACATTCCAGGTCAGGTTAGATGAGGCTCTGAGCAACCCAATCTAGCTGAAGGTGTCCCTGCTCATTGCAGGGGGGTTGGACTAGATGAATTTTAAAGGCCCCTTCCAATCCAAACCATTCCATGATTCTATGATTCTAAACATAGACCTAGGTGTTGTTTAACATGATTTGAGGAGACAACCAGTTCATCCATCAAGGCACAGTGAAGAGCTGCACACAATGACTTTTGCACATGGCAAACTTACTCTTTGTGTCCCAGACAGTAGGATACAATATTATGAGGAGCCTTTGCCAAGCTGACTCTGATCTTTTCATCTCTGTCTGCAGTTAGGATATACTGGTCATCAGGACTCAGTGCCTGTTGGTAAAGGGAGAGTTTTAGTGCCCAGTACTTCAATGTTGGCTTTAACGTAATTCTTCCTAACCAGGATCAAAAAAAGATAAGCAGTAAACTATCTGTTTCTCCTGACTCTGACTGGCAGGTGCAAGCATTAAGTCATGCTTTTCCACCAATAATGGAAGCATAAATCTTTATGACAGTAACTTTCCTGCTCATTAAGACAAGCAACTACTGGGTCCAGTGAAAGCTGCTGAGCTCCAACAGTACAACAGAAGTCCCACTGCACCTTAAAAAGAAAGAAACATCACATTGAAGAGCTCAATGGACATGACAGACTGGATGAATTCCCATATATGTTCCATCTCCAAGTCTTCTGTGGCTGTAACATGAAAACTTCGTGACCGCTCACACTCCCAGAATAGATAACCCTTTGGTAAACTCATTTCTTCACCAAACTCTGCAGACACAAACTCAGCAG